TTGTTATTGTTGAGGAAATATCCAATCTCAATGCGACCAACGTATGTTTTTAGTCACACGGGACTCGAATGGCGCGCAGGATCTGAAACTTTAGGTCATGTTACTCCGTACTCGGTCGAGATATCGGCTTAATAATAGAATAAGAAATCTGCATTGCAAAAGTACGCGAACCGCAGCCCACCTATGTCAGCCCACGGAAGTAGCCACGTCCAATAAGGGGAACCCCCTGAATGCCAAATTCGTCTAGAGCATTCCTGTGTGGCTGAACTGAGCAAAAACACTCTACTTCGGACTCCTCTTTTTTCTCTATATTGTCTAGGCAGCAATAGTCTCCCAGTTAGACTTGTGCCATTGATAGCTTTATCTTGTTTTCTTTTATGTACAATATACGAAGTGCAATTCGCGTCATGTTTTTCGAGTCCCAAGCTAAGTGCGGAAAGCAGTGCAAAGAGCGGCTACAGCGCATCCACTTAAGTACTCTACGGCAACACTGCATGGCCGTTACAGAAGCCCCGGTCGCCAGTCTTCCAGGAAGAGCCTGAGAACGCATGCACCTTCTTCTGGAGATGTGCCAGATGTGCCATGGCCATGTACATCTAGACTGCATGCAGGAGCCAAATCCAGTACAACAGAGGATGTATGACGAGGTCGAGCTCGAGCTCATTGGAGCTCTTCCTCTGGCTCCCCTGAATAACGTGTTTGAAGAGATTAGTGAAGGGTGGAATTATACAGTCTGAGACCTCATCTACCTACATTATATTCTCTGCGGAGTAGCTCAAAGATATATAGACATAGAGTAGTCCGCAGAGTAATGGTTGAATACATATCAGATGTCACTTGCGGGGCTGTCAGCCACTGCGGAGCCCAAAACAAAGAAGAGCCAGGGTCAACCATAATCCACATTCGGGGAGATGGCTCCATCTCCAAATATAATAAGATCTACTCCAACATCAGATAATCATACACAACGGCATATCTATGTGTTAATAGTTGGCAGTGTTAGCGGTCTGCCCAATGGTAGTCTGGCAATCGCCGCGATCGGAGGGATCCCGACTTGGGCTGTAGCATATCGCAGTGAACCTTGTGTTTTGTTCTACAACATACATACAAAGTTCACGATATATCGATCTACTATCTCTGGAATCATCGGATTGCATATGATATAGTTCAATGGTTTCGGGACTTATTATCATCCGTCCACGGGTGATTAGATGGGATATACCTTACGTGCGTCATCGTACCCGGACGTGGGCAGATCCAGTGAGAGATGGCGATGTGCTGAAGTACGTGTCTATGTGTCTATGTGTAAGGTGATTCGGCTGGTTATTCGCTATTCGTGTTATTCTCAATCCAATCCGAATAATAGAATATTCAATATCCAAACTATCTATCCCAACAATCCTAATACGTCCCTACCGCTATCGGCCATACTTCGGAAGACGGCCGTGTAAATTTGGAACTGGCAAGTGCAAAAATACGGTAATTACGTGTCATTTCCTTTTTCGCATTTTCTTTTTCGTCTGTCGCCTCTTGCCTCCCCGAGGAACGATCGTCTTTTTTCGTCTTTTCTCGTCTTTTCGGTCTTTTTTTTCCTTTTTCCTTTTTTTCGATCCGGTCTTCCTTAGAATTTTCCTTTTCGTCTTTACCAAGAAACTTATCCCCCATTTTCTCTTTTCCTCCCCAATTTCCCCCAATTCCCAATTCTCAATCCTCAAATCTTCAATCACTCAATTCCCTGTTCTCGAACCCTTCAATTCCTCTATTCCATTCTTTAAGATACTTCCATTCTATTGGCTCAATTCCTCGATCTCAAGGATTACCTTGACGCGAAGCAGATCTCGGACTAGTTGTTTTTGCTGCGAGAGAAGAGACCCACTTGTACGCCCGCTTCTTCGGTGGATACAGAACCATCGACGGTGGTTGTCACAACGTGCGGATAAATCACCATCCTATTTTTTTCTTCCTAGTGGGTGACCGTGGGGAATCTTCTTCAATTAAGCATCTCTTCCTTCCTTTCTCTCTTCGTGTGGAGTCAACTCAGTCTGAATCCCGTGAATCCCGTGAGACCCTGTGACCGTTTGCCTCTGTCTTTCTTGTTCGCAGGAAAATTTTCAAACAAGGAGCTTCCTTTCCTTCAAAGAAAAAAAAAATCATCCAGAGTGCAGGGTTGATGATTGAGTTACCGTGAACCAACATCCTTTCTTTCTTTTCTACACGATCTCCCTCCTCTGTCCACAATGGATCCCAGATCTCACCCTTCCCGTCCTCCATCCACCAGTCTGCCTCCCGGCTCCACGCCCATGTCCTCGACTCCCATCTCGAGCATGCATATCCCACAATACTCGATGCAGCCGCAGTATCCGGTTTCGCAGCCGCATACTCTGCCTCCATTGCAGCCGCACCACCCTCAGTCTCCCGCGCCTCACCACTACATGGGGCAGCCGTACCGTCCGGACTTGTCGCGGTACCCCCCGTCAACTCACGATGTCTACGGGGCTTCCCAGGCCCCGATGATGCCGCACACGACTGTCGGTAGCCTTCCGCCATCGTCTCTGTTGAATCTTCCTAACCCTCAAACACAGGCGCATCAGCAGTACCCCCCACCTCCGAGTGTCCTTCCGCCCGCATCCTCCGCTCAGAGCTACCCTCAGCCGATTGCTCCGGCACCCCCCCGCGATCGCCGCCCGGATTTCAATGGTCTTCCGTCCGGTGCCTTTAGTTACTCCGACGGCAAGGGTTGGGGTATGACTCCTGATGTGAATGGCGCGAACGGCTCCCCCTACGCCAAGGAACCGCCACGCACGCAGGTCGTGGGCTCTCAGGGCCGCCGTGGCATTTTGCCGAGTGTCCCGGGCCGCGCGACTCCGGTTTCGAACGGTGTCAATGGTACAGCTAAGAGCACGACGATTCCCGCAAAGGACGCGGATGGCAAATTCCCCTGTCCGCACTGTAACAAGACTTACCTCCACGCTAAGCACCTCAAGCGCCATTTGTTGAGACGTAAGTTTTCGGTAGAGCGAAGAAAAAAAAAAAGAAGAAAAAACAGAAAAATTCCCTTAGGACGAGATGTGCTGACTGTCTGATTTGTATAGACACTGGTGATCGCCCTTACATGTGTGTCCTATGTAAGGACACTTTCTCCCGCAGTGATATCTTGAAGCGTCACTTCCAAAAATGCTCGATCCGACGGGGTAACCCGACCGGAGCGACCCACTTGTCCCACCCGCAGGCCCATCTGAAGCGGTCTCAGCAGCAAGCAGCTGCGGCTGCCGCGGCCAATCCCCCTAAGCCGCTCCAGGATGAAGTCAGTAATCCCGTCCCCCACTCCAATGGCGTTATGGGTACGCAATACGATGGGGCCGTGAATGGCAATGGAATGGCCACAGGTCGTCCTAGCTACGCGGAGCAGCAGCCGCTCGGTTTCACGATGCAGTCTGTCAACGGCATGAACCGTGGTCCCGGTGACGACGCGTTCTCCGCTGGCCAGGCGCACGCGAGAGCCTCGTGGATGGCTGGACCTAAGCAGAACCCGTATCTCATGCAGCCTGGTGTCGATGCTCATGGCCAGCAGCTGACGGGTGATCGTCCCCTTGAACAGGTAAAGCCCCCGGTTTACCATGACCACAAGCCGGTCATGCCCGGTCCCCACTCACATCACCCGGGTGTTGACTGGAATTCGATGTTTCAGCACGGTTCCTCCGACGGTTACATTAACCCCGGTTTTCCCCACTCCATGGCCGCGGGCCAGGAGCCGATCCACGCTCCCGTCGACCACGACCGCAAGTACTACCCTGCCTCGACCGGTCCTGAGAGCGGTATGAACGGACTGTACCTTGCCTCGACTACGCTGAGCGGAGACGGTTAGTTTTTTTTTTTTTATGCCGTTGATTATGATATCGGTTTCTAACAAAAAATATGCAGGTAGTGTACAGCCCGCGAGACAATAGACGGTGAATTCGGAAAGCAAGATGATGCCTAGGCATAAGATTGAAAAAGCGTTTTGACGAAGTAAAATACCACAAAAGGTTCCTCTCTTCTTCACGCCGTGGGTAGGACTATTGCTCTCCACCCTCTCTTCTATTGTTTCTAGGGCTTCGTCCCTGGCTTCTCCGCTGGTGCAAATCCACTGGTCACGATGTTTCAACAAATCTGTTTACGGTAGTCCTTTGATCCGTTCGCTTGCGGCTTTCAGCTTGCGGTGTTTCGTGATCTAGCGTCTCCCGTTCCACGTTTGTCGATCTATCTTCTTTTCTTTTCTATTCTGATCCCATCCGGTGTGGGTGTGCATTCTTAAGTGGTTTGCGAGTCTGGTTATCTTTTATCTTGAACCCCCGATGTGAGGGGCAGATGGTATGGTGGTTTGTTCGGCGTCCACAACATAGACATGGGCATGTGTTCATCTTTTGCGCGAGTGCTCGACATCAGAAAGGAGAAAAGCTTTTTTTTCTTACATTCTCTTTTTTATGGGATGGTTGTTGTCGAATTGCCATGTTTCTTTCATTCTTGCAGTCCATTTTTTGCCATGTGCTTTTATCTTTTCCTTTCTCGTTTTTTCTTCTGCATCGCATGGCCTCTTTTCTCATGTAAAGTCGGCATGGCAGGACATATGTGTGCTTTGGGAATTCCTTGAGGTGTGATTTAAGGTGTTTGTTTTATTCTCAGGATTTACTAGAAAAGCAGCTAGAAATAGACTTATGATCCATTTGACGTGCCAGTATCTGGGGAAGCCGGGGTACCTTGGAGAAGACGTTCACAAGGTACTTCAAATCTATACTTCAATTGATACGTTGTATATACAAGATGTAGCGGAGTAGCGGAGAAATGGATATAACGTCTCCGGGATCTTCCTATGTAACGTCATAACCATAATCCGCCGCCCGTGATTGGAGCGCCCGTGGGATCGGGAACTTGAGATCGGGCACTCTCAGACTTCTCCTATTCTACATCTTCACATTCCATAATCAAAATCAACAACAGGTGAATCCTCTCCCTGTCTAATCATGTCCAACAACCGTCCATTCCTCGCCAACTTCCTGGCTGCCTTCCGCGCCCAGTCAACCTATAAGCCTGCCCAGCAAGTCGGCGCCACAACCTCAACCCTTTCCTCCGCCCAGATCTCCCAGAGTGCCCGCGCCATCGCAACAAAAGCAGCCAACTCAGCCCAAGGCTCATCAGCACCATCATCTGCTTCTGCCGCAGCCCACCATAATCACACTCACAACCACCATAATCACCACCACACCCACACATCCTCATCCGCCTCGACTACAGCACCAGCCGGCCAAGTCCAAGGCCCGAGTCCATCCCCTTCACACCACTATCACCACGACCAATCATCTCTCCCCTCCACACCACCATCATCCACCTCGACTCCCATCCCGATTAATCGTGGCTCAGCAGACCGCCAGCGCCGCGGGAGTGATTCTTCCAGTGGCTCGGGCGGGTTCCGCGATGCCATCGGTCCGGAGAAGTGGTATATTGGTGGGAGGACGCCCGCTGGCGAAGAGCGCTTCTATCGACTCGGGATGGTTACGAAGGGTGGGGGGCGGCTTGGCGGGAGTGGGCGGGTGGGGAGTATCGATCAGTTGAGTCTTTGAGATATAAGATCATCGTGATGTGGGGGGAACGGGGTCCCGAGAGGGTCTTATGGGGTTTTTGGTTTGGTTTTCGGTCTGTTCTGGGTTGACTGGCTCTCATATGCCCTGGCTATCATCCTGGGACTGCAATCGAATGCTCGATCGGATGTGAATATCTGACACTGCTCCATCACGGATTCTATGCGTCTTTCTTTTTTTTTGGCCTCTTTTCGTCCGCGTTCTCTTTGCTTCGTGGCGCGGCATTATCAGGCGTCCTGGGACGGTGTTCTCCTCTTTCTTTTCCTTCTTCGTTTCTTCCCTGCGTTCTCTGATATCGGTCTAGGTCTGGAATCTGGATCGGAGGATGATATCAGGTTCCAATTGGGGATCTTGGTTTCTTACTGGCCATTTTGCTGGTACAAAAGAAGCCCAAAAAAGACATACATCTTACACTATTCTACATGAATTATGATCTGCGTGGGAATGGGGTTTGTTTAGTCTCTCGTTTCGACTTCTCTCTCTCCTTTCTCTTTTTCCGTTCTGTTTATTTTCCACACTAGCAAGTCTATGGTCAAAAACATGCTTTTTCAATATCAACATCACTATCATCAATATCACATCTTTGAATATTCTTCCTTGACCGTTTCTAAAAATGAGATTCTGGATATTTACCTAGGCAGCTAGCTAGTGCCCTCACACCACCTGCTGTGTAACACAATGCAGCACACCTCCAGTCCTAGGCAAGGCATTGACCTCAACCTGACGAACCTCCCTCCCGGGAACCAGGCTCTTCATCAACTCAAAGGCCTTCTCATCAGCCTCAGGATCCCCAAACGCCGGGATAACCAGTCCACCATTAACAAAGTAAAAGTTCACATACGAAGCCGCCGACGCCTCCTCCTCCCCAGCAAGACCCCCCTGAACGAAGCTCGGATCCGGCTCAACAACATCATGAACCTCAAAGCGCCGACCACGCGCATCAGTAGATCTCTCCAAGACGGCCCGAATCTCCGAATAGACCTCCCAACGCACCTTCTCCGCCTTCTCATGCGGACGACAAACAACCACAACCCCAGGTCTCACAAACCTCGCCTCAGCATCAACATGCAAATCCGTAACATCGAGCCCCACCCTCCCGGGGAACCAAATGAACGTACTGACACCTAGCAACCGACGAAGCTCCGCCTCGATCTCCGCCTTCCCGAGTCCAGGATTGCGCGCATCGCCAATAATACTACTCTCCGTCGCCATGAACGTCCCCTCGCCGTCGACCTCAATACCCCCGCCCTCGAGCCGGATATCCGTCTCCACCCGCACGACAACATCCGCCACCGTGTCCGCGCCCGCATTCTCGAGATCCAGCACGACGCCCGCGAACGCCGTGTTCTCGCTCATGGCTTGCGCGTCCATTACCGGCCACTCGGCGTATTGCGGGGATGTTTCGAGCGCCTCTGCTGCTGCGGGCGAGGCGTTGGCGCCGTAGATGTATTCTGTGGTTTTGTGGCCCCATTCGCAGAAGCGGAAGTCGATTGCGTAGCGGGTTTTGTCTGCTGGGTCGGCGCTGTGGACGTAGACGGGGCCTGTGTCGCGGATCCAGCAGTGGTTTGTTGGCGCTGCGATGAGGATTATGTTGGACCGGTGCTGGGGTTGTTTGTCGAGGAGGGCTTGGGCTTGTGGGATGTCTTCAGATCGGGCGTAGAGGTGCACGGGTTCGAAGGCTGCGATTGTGGTCGCGAGGGAGATTATCTCGTTGCTTGTTTTGGCGTGTAGCTCTGGGAGGGTCGAGCGGCGGGAGGGGAAGCTTAGGAGGGTTGCTAGGTGGGTGCTTGTTTCTGCTGGGCGGATGTATTGCTTTGCTCTGTCTGCTTGGAGTGAGAGGGCGCGGTGCTGGATGTGCCAGATTTTGTTGGTGGGCGGCATGGTTGCTGTTGGGTGGGTTGGTTGGAATGGGGGTTTGTATTGGTATATGACCGGTAGGTGAGGTCGAGCTAAGGAGATCTGGATGGGTTAGATCACATGTGTGTGGTACAGAATGCGACAGACTGATGTACTGACAGTGGTAGATGCTTGTCTTAGTCGTTGGATCGAGTGAAGAAGTGCCATGGGGAGAATGGTCGGGGCGAATTGGGGGTTATTTATGCTGAAGGGAAGATCCCAATGGAGTCAATATGAGGAGATGAGAGGAATGTCGACGATGAGCCTAAACAAGTTAAAAGGAAGAGAACGACTGAGCTGCCGCATTGGGATAGTCCAGGCGATAAGCTTAACACCGTGGTGGGGCTTGTTATATGGATCTAACCGTTTTTGAACTTCGGTTTGCTGCTGTACGGAGTAGAGGAATTGAATTTATCATATGTTCCTGGATCTAAATAAAGGTAACACTGTGTAAATACATTATCTGGTTTCTCCTGGTGTCTAGTCTATAAAATTTGTATAGAATCAAATGCCGCACCTCGCGCAACTCCTCACTTCTCGGCCTCTAAAGGATACCTTGATAGATCGAGAGACACAAACCCAGACATATATTGCAGCTATAATAGGCTATGAAATACAAAAGATTCCAGAGATTCTAGGCATACAAATATATCAAAGATAAGCACCTTGTAAAGCCGCTACTATACCTAGGTAATCCAGGTGCAACGTATAGTTCCGAAGTGACCTACTTGCTTACATGTAGGCAGAACTGATACCTGCGTTGGAAAAAATAATTTGAAAAAAGTGCTGCCTAACTGCGTAACCCTCATTCAGCTCATTAAAGCCCTCTCCTCCTCGGTTTCTCCTAACCACAGCATCGGAAGCGCAGTGAGCGCTACGAAAACTCCCAATGTGCCCGTCATCGCCCCCCATCCGAAACGATACTCGACAAACCCACCCCAAAGTGGTCCGAAGAACACCCCAGCAAACTGGCACATACTCTGCAATCCGAATCCCTGCGCCACGGCACCCTTGGATCCGAGTATGCCTGGGCTCTTGAGTTCCATTGCCGTGAGTGCACGCTGCGTCTCAACGTACATAGCTGGTGCACAGGCGTGGATGAAGACCCCGACAAGGAAGAGCAAGGATACCAGCAGAGCGATTTGTTCATTCGATTTTGCCTGGACAAACCGGAGACAGATGAGGGTGGGCGAGAGAAGAACGAAACAGCCGAAGGCTACAAAGCGGGCACCGAACTTGTCCGTGAAGCCGCCGAACAGCGGCTCGAAGAAGGCCGGGACGGCCATTGGGAGGAAGATTAGTCCCATGCCGAGGGAGTTCCAGCCAAATGTCGTTTCGACGAAGATGGAGAGAGTCTGGATGTGATTAGCCAACCATTCATGTTGAAAAGGTGGAGTCTAGTACATACCGCATCAAAAGCAGAAAGCAAGATTCCCTGCGCGAGGAGCGCCCACGAAGAGATCAACACTCGGCGCTGTCTGAGCATCCGGAAGATAACGAGCCCTTTCCTTCTTTGGATGACCTGTGGTTCGCGCGAACCGACAGAGGGAATACGCTGCGCCGTCTCCAGATCCGACTCCAGGTTCCCGTTTGATTCTCCAGTCCACTGAGCAGCCACCTTCTTCTCGATCAAAACCAGCCGCATAACCATGTCAAGCGCAAGAATAGGATACGCAAACCAGAACACGGCGTTGTACCCACCCGAATTGTACACAACGCCTCCGAGGAACGGACCCAGTAGGAACCCCGAGGCAATCGCGGAGCCAAGATACCCTATTGTCTGACCGAGATGCTCCTGGGACACGGCGTCGCCGATGAGAGCGAATGCCGCTACCACTACTAGAGCACCTGCAATGCCCTGGAGTAGACGAGCTATGACAAACGCAGCGATGGAATGCGCCAGTTGTAAGATCAGCATACAGCCGGTTAGTATGACCAGGGCACTGATGAAGGGTAGTCGACGTGTGCGTGCGCGGTCGACCAGGTAGCCGAATATGGGACACATGAATAGAGACATGCCTGCTTCGCACATGAGAAGGACGCTGACCCAGTATTCTCCTGGTCAAAGGTTAGTATGCAATAGTTTGCCAGGGAAGCTGTTAGACATACGGTGCTCGAATCCGACTCCGGCTCGGGTGACGAGTGCTGTTGGCATCACGGGGACTATCTGTCGTTCGTTGGTTCTGGGTTCAACTCACATCATAAGTAAGATCTTGCTTACCATGGCATACAGGAGGAATTCCTTATTTCAATTGAGTCTCAGTTGGGGACTTAGAAGAATAGAGGACCAGACTCTCACATACCGTGAAGGTGGACATCCAGACTGCACCGATAATAAAACCCGTTGAGGAACGAACCTTCAACAGCCAGGGAGCACGATTTTTCCCTGGCTCTCTCTTGAGATTTATTAGATCGCGTATAGTCATGATTATCCGAAACGCGAGCGGTTGTCTGCAGATGGAAACAAAGAAGTCCCTCGCGAATCCGAATCACTAATATGAGAACGGACTAATATGAGGTGTGACTAATTAGAAGTTCAGGGAAAGCTGAGAATCAACAAAACCAGAAATTAGTCGATAAGTGCCAGACGTAATAGGCAAGTGACGACTCCCTGTTGAACAAAGAATCAGCCCAGCCTTGACCGAGAACCTGATAGACCTCGCCCGCTTTTTACTCGACAATTTACCCAATCGCGGGATATTATGCTGATTGATATGGCTTAGAAGTGTGCACTGCATGCGAGATTCGTCAGATCGACGTTGCAGACGATACCACCAGCATTGGCACCCACCACACCCTCCGATTCGACAATTGCAATCTAAGCTGGGGACCAGGCGTGCCATTCAATGCACGCTGTGAATTCTTTATTCCAAAAAAAGAATCCAATCTGCTATCTGGATCTGATACATATCCTACATGCTGTCGTTCTGGGCATGGGTGTTGAGGATTGGACATATATTGGGGTCTAGGATGTACGAGAGAGACTGCATAGTTAAATATCTTGATTATTCCCTGTCTAGAGATGAAACTTGGCTTTGGTCGGAGCGTTGGCAGCAAGGTTGAGCACATGATGACCTCGGGTAATATTGTCACTCATATAGAAGCAAATCAAATCCCTCATGGCAATCATCGTTGACCGCTAGATAGGTCAGTGTGCTTGACACTTGCACATGCTGTGACAGGAGGCGTAGGCCACGCATTTCCCCTATGCGGTGTATGTATAGGTACTCTTTTGTGCTCTGTGGGTATTGAGGCTCTTTCATGCCGAGTCTTGGAGAGACTTCAGTGTTAACTCCGGCTGTTCATCGGAAATAAGCGCTCTAATGGTGTTTGTACGTGTAGGTTGTCTGGGGGGATATATACTACCTCTGAAGATATATATTGCCTCTGATAGAAATTGCATGAGCAACCTGGTATACACCACGGAGGTTATATATACAAGCTACCCTGGACGATTGAAGTAGGACAGCATTAACCATGAAATACCTTCGGTGTATTCCGTACAAAGTACTTAAATGAACAAAAGAGAACAAAAATGCCACGATATCTCGTCATCAAGGCGAGTCAACGTACAGACTGTGCCATATTTCTCCCCGCACTGTACCACCGACAGTGAGGTCACTGCGCATGCCTATTATGGCAATTGTCAACAGAGGAAGAATATCATGTCAGCGCTGAGTGTTTATCGCCGGAACTTCGTCTTTCACGGCTCGCAGCTCGCCGGTCCGCAGTGGAGGTCTCCGGATGGTATACAGAACGTTAGGGATGTTAGAGATGTTAGGGATTTGAAAATAATCTAGGCATTTGCAGTTGAAGTCCGCAGAGTGGTCGGAAGTTCGGGATTGGGAATGTGAGATCTCCACTGTCACTGCACTCGGCTCGTGGCCCGAAAGTCTGGGGGAAAGGAAATTGTCTTTTTCTTCTCCTTCGGTACAACATATGATGGTGATAGGTGAGAATGGCATAGAAGCATCAGGCCATAGCTACATAAAGGTAGGAAGAAAATGAACTGTCCAATCGCCAACTGATAAGATCGGGATTTGGAGGAGATCGCGGCCACTCGCGGCCATCGCGGCCATCGGAGGTGCCCGATGCTCTCTGGATCAGCCAATATGCATTCCAGATAAATACTGATCAGGTCTGCTGGGTAATACAATCATTTAACTTTCACACTCTACTTCTTCTTCTCTTCCATATTCCCAAGTTACCCTCCCAAAATTCAAGATGAGCGTATTGGCAGCTGCTCGCTACGGCAAGGACAATGTCCGCGTGTGCAAGGTGGACCGCGATGAGAAGACCGGCATCCAGACGGTCGTGGAGATGACCGTATGCGTCCTGCTGGAGGGCGACATCGAGACCTCGTATGTCAATCGACATCTTTTATCGAGAGAAAAAAAGTTGAAGCTAACCTGAAGGTCCCCACAGTTACACCAAGGCCGATAACAGCGTCGTTGTCGCAACCGACTCAATCAAGAACACCGTCTTCATCACAGCCAAGCAGAACCCCGTATCCCCACCGGAGCTGTTCGGCTCGATCCTGGGCACACACTTCATCGAGAAGTACAGCCACATCCACGCGGCGCACGTTAACATCGTTACCCACCGCTGGGTACGCATGGAGATCGACGGCAAGCCACACCCGCACTCGTTTATCAAGCCTGGCTCCGAGACGCGCAACGTGCAAGTCGACGTCATCGAAGGAAAGGGCATCGACATCAAAAGCTCTATCAGAGGCCTGACCGTGCTGAAGAGCACCGGTTCCCAGTTCTGGGGTTTCGTCCGCGACGAATACACGACCCTCAAGGAGACCTGGGACCGTCTCCTCAGCACTGATGTCGCCGCGGACTGGCAGTGGCGCCGCTTCGCTGGTCTTGCCGATGTCAAGACACACGTTGAGAAGTTCAATGCTGCTTGGGAGGCGGCCCGCGCTATTACCCTCAAGACCTTTGCTGAGGATAACAGTGCCTCCGTCCAGGCGACTATGTACAAGATGGGAGAGCAGATTCTTGCTGTTGAGCCTCTCTTGGAGACTGTTGACTATGCGTTGCCTAATATCCACTTCTTCGAAGTTGGTATGTTTGACCCCCTCCCCTGTGAATCTTGGATTTGGGCTAACCTCTGCGCTTGTAGATCTCAGCTGGCACAAGGGTATCAAGAACACCGGCAAGGATGCCTCGGTGTACGCCCCCCAATCCAACCCCAACGGTCTTATCAAGTGCACCGTTGGCCGCGCTGGCCCAAAGGCTAAGCTGTAAATGCTTTCTAAAGGATTGTCGGCGAGCTCCGACATGGGCGCTAGCTTGGGTTTCTTTTCTATTTTGTACATATATCCATTTCCTATACTTCTGGGATCAGACTCTTTATATCTCGAATCCAATCCGTCACAACATCGCAAAAGATAAGGTAAAAAGCATTGTATAGTACGTGGTATTGTGATTGTATGTGCTATAAGTACATTTCAAAAGAACCGCAGGCTCGAAAGTTGAAAAGTCCGAGGCCAACAGAGTAGATAATCAAAAGCAATATCCCAAATGGACTCCACACCCATGCGCTTGTGCGGTTGGATCATAACATCGCAGGAGAATAGAATACAGGTAGACACGGACCCGGTTTAGGTCGGCGCTCTAAAATAACGAAACAAGGAGAGATAAAAAAGGGTGCTTTATGCGCTTGGCTTTTCGGCGGCTTCTTTGAATGCTTCCTGCACTTCGGGCAGATTTCCGATCATCGATTGGTTGCCGAACTTGACAATATTTTCCTTGTAGGGGTGGGCCACACCTTCGAAAGCTGCACGACATTGGGTTAGACTGGGTCAAAACGTGAAGAAGTAGATCGGCTAAATGGATAGTGTCCCCGTTGTTCTTCGAAGATGAACCCGTGCGTATCTCCACCAATCAAGCAACCCATCCAAGGAGCAGGAGCATAAAAATCTAGAACTTACTCTTCAATCGAGCAAGGCGGGCATCCTTCAGTCGGTTCTTAGGCAGCATGCCCCTGACAGCGCGGCGCAGGACTTCACCACCACCCCATTTGGCAAACATCTGATCCATCGTCATGCTCTTCAAGCTACCGGGCCGTGTCGTGTGCGTGTAGTACTTCTTCTGGAATCGTTTCTTTCCTGTTGTCTTGAGATCATGACATCCCACAACCACCACATAGTCACCACAGTCTGTTGAAGGGTCGAAGATCGGCTTGTTCTTGCCCATCAAGACGAGGGCGATCGACGAGGCGAGGCGGCCGAGGGATCGTTCATCGGTGCCGGCGTCGACATAGTGCCATGTACGCGAGTAGGCGAGACGAGTCTGATGCGTTACTGGTTAGAATCGAGTTGCTTGCTTGAGTTCAGGGCATGCGCGGTTGGCCCGGAAGGCTCCGCATTGAAACTATTTACCTTGCCGACGAGTTGCGACATCTTGTTGACGCGGCGGAGGGTGGTGTATATGCCGGGGCGATGGACAATTAGACAATTAATGAAAGGCGGAGTCGTTCAATTGAAGATCCCAGCAACCAAAACAGACCCAGCGCTTAAATGTCAGAGATAATGATGATCTCAGCGTTCCCTGTATTGCTTGTAGCCTCTAACCCGCCCCGATTGAAGTTCTCCGGTCATGTGACCAAGCCCTAAGTCTCGTGCCACGCTAGTCCCAAAGTAGAATTAGCGTCGCACACTAAGCGAAACCCGCACGGAAGGGCAAATCACTGTGTATGGGAATTCAAGTGACTCTTTTTCCATCTCCCTCGACAACACACTCCCTCCCCCACGACAATCCACCATGGCTTCCGTCCCGAGTGTGCAATGCTTCGGCAAGAAGAAGACGGGTAAGCTCTCTTTTTTTCGACCGGAGACCAGAGTGAATGAACCCGTGCGCTGACATATTTCGTTTTCAATAGCCACCGCTGTCGCCCACTGCAAGGTATGATGAACGCCTCTACTCTCTCGGTCCCAATACGTTGTTTCGAAATGTCTGGAAAGGAAATTGTCGGAAAGGAATCGTGCACGAAACGAAGAACTGGGGTTGAATTTTGGAATGATATACGAAACAACATGTTGCGCGATCATGGGGGTCTTATACACATTGAATTGGACAACACGCTGAGACTTTTTACAGCAAGGCAAGGGCCTCGTCAAGGTTAACGGCCAGCCCCTCTCCCTGGTCCAGCCCGAGATCCTCCGTTTCAAGGTACGCACAATACATTCGCTCAACCACCTCCCGTGCGCCACAAACGAAAAGATTCGCACGAATCGCAAGCGACAATGGCAATGGGAAAACGTCTACGAACTCGGTTTCTGACAATTCACCCTCGAAATTTTAGGTCTACGAGCCCCTCCTCATCGTCGGCGTTGACAAGTTCGCCGGTGTCGACATCCGTGTCCGCGTTACCGGTGGTGGTCACACCTCGCAGGTCTACGCCATCCGTCAGGCTATCGCCAAGTCCATTGTCGCCTACTACCAGAAGTACGTCGATGAGCACTCCAAGAACCAGCTGAAGCAGGCTCTTGCTCAGTACGACCGCACACTCCTGGTTGCCGATAACCGTCGCGCCGAGCCCAAGAAGTTCGGTGGTCGCGGTGCCCGCTCCCGTTACCAGAAGTCCTACCGTTAAATTTTTCTTCCTCACTTGTTACGCGGCGAAAAGGGAAAGAAAAGTTTACGGCAACGGGGAAATGGAATATGTCTGTCTTCATATGTTTTTTCCATCACGACTTGTTTCCATGACTTCTTGGTGGACTGGGGACTTGGGAGGATTCGGGGATGTTTGAGCGGTTTTTGTTCGGTTTAACCGCTCTTGCAAGAGATCTGAGGACCGGGCTAGAGGAATTTGGGAAAATAACCTCTGGTTGTTGTTCCGGTGCCTTGTTGATATGTTTTTCACTGGCGCTGTCCTGCACGGCTGGAAAAAAATACCTAGCATAGCCAGGAAAATCTACTCAATGATACTGGGTTTTATCTTGTTCAAGCCTTTGTTTTGGAATCTTTTGGCTATAGTGTTCTAACAACATTGGTCTTATTTTTCCCAGATTTATGTTCTCCATACGCCAACTTGGCAAGTATCTGCTTTTGAAGGTAAACCACCGAGGTCCTCGCACCTCGCTCTCCCATACTGGACCACATAGAATTCATGGCTTTACATACTTACAACAAGTTTACCCCGGACATTGGCTATCTGTCACTCGGATTTACCGCCAAACCTCAGTTCAATTGGACATTATTTCAATTCCATGTCGTAGCCAGATGGTGTGAGCAACATGAATCCATGCATACATGAAAAAAGAATTGCTGGCACTCACAGCCAGTGCCGCGGCTCTCTTTCGACATTTCCCGCAACAACTCCTCTTGAAATGCTCCTCAACCTCTCCAATAACTCTTCGCCAGTATCAAGAAAGCAGCCCGGGACTAGATATCAGTCAGATATTGTCTTGCGTCATCGTTGATACGCATCAATGTGAGCTTACATTTTCATCTGGAGTATACAAGACTCAGTCATCACCAAAGTAGGCGAATTGCAATGTCTTCTCCTGGCCAACTCTCGCTTTCTCTTAATCAGAAATTCTTCTCTTTCCCCGTTGGGGTAATATTCTGTAGGAAGGCATATGATCGGTGTAAGCTCATCATCTGTAGGTCAAGGGATTACCCACTTAAAGTGCTATGCGACTCGACCTTGTATTGAACTCTCATCAGATTTTTTTTTGTCTTTCACTGATGCCTGCCAATGCAGTCACTTGGACGGAATAAGAACGTTAAAGTCATCATTTGAGAGTTCCAAGGCTCAGCCACTTGGGATACTATTGAAAATGTCATCAGGTTCGACCAGCATAAGGGGATTCCCAACGTACCTTCTCAGTAAACCCTATGTCGAGATCTGGCTTCTCGTTAATGCCAATACCTATCTATGCATTCGACATAGCGACTCAATTGAACAATTCAGCAGTCATCATATATGAGTTTCGAGGCTCACTCACTTGATAGATTCATCCTCTAGACGTGTGTTCATTTAAAGCCCGAAATCAGCATTTACAGAAATGCAGGGGAAGGGAAAACTTGCCTTTGTTCATTTCAATCGCGCTTGAAGCACAGGCGTCTTCGCATTTGAGATATAGAACTGCACTGCAGCCAAGATATAGGGAAGTTGTCGACATATCTTTCGAGAGATCAATCCTCTGTAGTGGAAACCTTGTGTAGCTCCCATCAGAAGTTTTTTTCGTTTTGATTGGGGCTCATGCCAATCTTCGAAATGAAGGGATAAACGGTCATCATTTGGGAGTTTGAAGGTTGATCCACTTGGAAAGGTTCTCTCAAAACTAACTGTTAACGTCCATAAAAATGAGGGAATGGAAGACTTGCCTTGCCTCGACCACCACTGAAGTATAAGTGTGGTGCCATCCGATGATGAGAGTAGGGATATTCCTTTAAAAGATCATGGTCAACGAACAGGGGAATAGGAAACTTACCTCTCTCCTTTTGTCTCGATGTTGTCAAAACATACTGATCGAAAATGTTGCCATGAAGCATAGGGGGATAAAAACCTCACCTCTCTTGATCGTCCTCGCGTCAGGTATGCATTCAAGTCATCAAATAAAGAAGACATAGAAGGTCATCATTCGCGAGCTTTCAAACTGCTCGAAAAACGTTAAAGTATCCAATTGTTAATGAAAATGTGACAGGGGGAAAACTTACCTCTCTTGATATTCGTCCTCGCGTCAGGTATGCCTTCTCTACTTGTTGTCTTGCCAAAGCAAGTCACCAAATAAAGAAGACATAAAAGGTCATCATTCGCGAGCTTTGCACTCATCCATAGTCACTACACGACTATGTCGAGTCGCTCCCACAAAGAGTGAGGAGCAAGAAGTGCGCAAATCGACCTAGGTAATTGAATGTGGTAATAAGTCTCGCATCAGAGTTCTTACCATTTCTGTCCTCAAAGTCCGTATAGACTAGGAAGCTCTAATTTGTGTAGTAATAATTCTCATCATTTTGCGATTATCATTAGACAAAAAAGGGGTAGGACTTACCTTGATCCAAAATTGCCAATCCACCAATGTGTGCGCAGTATGCACGACTAAGTTCCTATAAAGAGTGAGGAGGAGGAAGTGTGTAAACCGACCTAGATAGGTAGTTAGTCTCGCATCAGAGTTCTATTCATTCCTGTCCTCAAAGTCCGTATAGACTAGGAAGCTCTAATTTGTGTAGTAAGAATTCTCATCATTTTGCGATTATCATTAGACAAAAAAGGGTTAGGACTTACCTTGATCCAA